TTTTTCTTCAAGATGGACAAATCAACCCCAATTAAAACCAATAATTTGATATACATCATGATATTTTTCTAGGGGGGGGTAAAAAAATTTCTAGGGGGGGGTAAAAAAAATTTCGGCGCGCTTCGCGCGCCAAATTAAAAATTTTTACCCCCCCCTACAGAATCCTTATATCCGCCCCTGACTCACCGTCACAGTTATAGGGTTGGTTAGGTTCTGGTCTATGCGAGGTTCTGTGCTTTGAGCTGGACTGAGATGATTTCAGGATTCCACGTTGACTAGTTGCTGGAGGACCAGACCCTTTTCCACCAGCTAGAGCTCGACTAAATAAAATATTGTAGTGAATGAAATCCCGTAAAAATGTTTATAAAATCCACAAATCAGAGAAGCATCAGATTCAGGAACCAGAGAAGACCTTTTCATCTTAACCTCCTCACTTTGATACACTCGTTATTTATCATGTATTTATATCTAGAAACAAGAAATTTACTCTTAAAGTGGTAACCCTGACTTTTAGGACAGTCGTTATTCTTTAATGTTCCTTTTATTTAAAGAGTTACATTCCCTATTCAAAACGAAGCATGTTAAACCTGATAAAATATTATGTTCTATTTGAAAATGAATGATTTTAATTGTTCTTTTCTCTCACAGGGATCTTGCCAGTGCTAGGTCATGGGTACTGGAACAGGGTAAGGTAGCCATACCACACCGGATTAACTAGAGTGAGCAGCATTTGGTTTCTTCTATTTGAAATCAAACGTGTTTTGGTCTATAATTCAACAATCTTTTACCTTACAGATTTGTTTACTCTAAACTTTTTCATTCAAAATGCATATGCCGACAAAAAAAGTATCCAAGACAAAAGGCTAAAATATTATGTTTAATGGGTCAAATTGTGATCGAAAGTCACAGCTTTCTGGAATATTGACAGAACCGTTAAATCCACGTGATACAATTCTAGTGATTCTGGCTTCTGTCCGCTCTGTCTGCATCATAACCCGGTACAGGTAGGGATGTTATTATTTTAATTATGTTTTAATTAATTGTTTTAATTATGTTTGAATTGTTATGAAAAAGTGGACGGTAAAACGAAAAACGACACGATTGTGGAAGACGATGCCTGGCCGCGTTAAATAAGTTCCACAAGATTCAACAGAATGAGATAGCACAGATACGGGGCATAGTACTGATAAACATCTACACGTGTGATATCGATATTTACTCTAGTTCTGAACCCTCTAGCAATAAGTTATAAGAAATATATATACTGGAAGTTATTTATGCATTTTCATTAGAGTCTGACTCACGTCCTCTATACGATCGTTATTAAAAATTATAAAAAGTTATTTTTTAAAAACGTTTGTTAACGATTGTATTTTGTTAACAATCGTTAACGACAACCCTTTGTTAACGATTGTTAACGACGACACTTTGTTAACAAATGTTAACAACGACCCTTTGTTAACGATCGTTAAGGAAGAGAAGAGGAAAGAGGAAACCGACCTGAAGGGCATTGGTACTTATGATTTAGTAATTTTAAAGAAAAAATCATGAAGTTTTAGCTCTCCCACAACCCTATAACCTGCATGTAAGACCAAATTCGATAAAGTTGCATATTTATAAATGACAATTTTTTTTTCTTAAACGATCTTTTTTTTGAACGATCGTTTTCATAAAGTTCGTCGTTTCGTTAACGATCGTTAACGACGACCCTTCAATAACGATAGTTAACGACAACCCTTTGTTAACGATCTTTAACATATTTATCAATGATAATATTTTTTTTAAAACGATCTTTTTAAAAAAAAACAATTGTAAAAAAACGGTCGTTTAGTGGGATTGATTTCAAACTAATTATGTTTATGTATCTGTGAGCAAATATTGGCAATATTGGTTTGGTTGTTTTATTAACTTTTAAACTCGATTTATATTTCTTTTTAATTGTAGAAGGGTTGCAGTAAGTTAGCTTTGTTAACTACGTTGTAACTTCTTCATTATCAGGTCGAAAAATCACTAGATACGTTTTCATTAGGTCAGTGTCCATAGCATAAGAAGAATAAAATAATATAAACACTAAACTTTAATCCTAAAGATGTTTTCTTTTGATGTAGATGGCTCTGTCTCAAGGGTGTTTTCCTCCGGTAGTTATTTTTATCAAAAGTCATACTCAGGGAAAAATATAATATATTTCCCGCGGTGGCCATGTTTTATATTTCAAAATGTATAAACTCCTTCAGAATATTGCTTACAATCATGGAGTACAGGGTGTCTCAAACAACATAGAAAATTAAAGTACCGGGCAGGCTTTTAGGCAGCCAGAGCAAGTTGTACATCATGAATATTGCCTACTGACTAAAGACTGAAAAATTGGACAGTAAGTCAAACGAATCATTTTATTGGGATTTAGGTGAAACAAACTTTTAAATCGTCTTATTTAATCTTCATTTGTCAAAAATGTGAAAATAAAATCTGTTTTTTTTTTCATTATTTTTTGTTTATTACCAGCTGAGAGTTTCCGTTCCTGTTGGTTGACTTGTGTTGGTCAGGAAGGGCATATTCTGAGTAGATCTCCATAGGGTCTTCATAACCTAGATAGATAGATAGATAGATAGATAGATAGATAGATAGATAGATAGATAGATAGATAGATAGATAGATAGATAGATAGATAGATAGATAGATAGATGGATATATAGATAGGTAGATAGGTAGATAGATAGATAGATAGATGGGGCTATTGATGGATATTTGTAATTGATTGATTGGTCGATTGCTTGATCGATTGGCTGATTGATTGATTGAATAATACTAACCCTGTAGTAGGATGTTGTCATGAGCATGGCCGGAAACAGAAAGATCATGCACATCTGATAAGTAGCAACAAAACTACCCATGATGGGTGGAGCATCAGGACTCCTGAATAAATATGTGTATTTATAAGTTTGTTAGTTACCCTACCTCTCTTCTCATCATTATTTGATGCACAAAAAATAGACTGACTCGTCAAAATAAGTACATGTTTTACAAAAGGTACAGTTATGAAAGGTGCAATTATTTGAAAATACAATCTGAGAAATATTAAATTGTTATTTTTTTATAATATACAAAGAAAACTGGAATCATTGCACGAAGCGCCCTGAAAGTGTATTATTACACAATATTGTAAAGCTTACGTGTCCTCTGTACACTTCCACACGACGATAGAGTTGTTCTGGTTCAAGCAATCCTCCTCATTCTCCTCCACATACATCACCGAGTACACATCCTAGACAACAATGTACAGTGTTCTGGTTCAAGCAATCCTCCTCATTCTCCTCCACATACATCACCGAGTACACATCCTAGACAACAATGTACAGTGTTCTGGATCAAGCAGTCCTCCTAATTCTCCTCCACATACATCACCGAGTACAACAGCGTTGAATTACAAGACAGACAGAGAGAATGACCTGCCTGCGCGGAAAAAATCCCTAAATCTTTAAAAAAAACTACTTCTAGTGTTCTATCAGTGTTGTTATTAATCTATTCTTCTAACAGTCTGCAGGAAATAATAGAGAAAATAAAAATAATGTTACTTTTTTAATCAAAGTTAGACCTGAGGAGACAGGATTTTTTTTAATAGCGCGAGTAGGAATATTCCTAATCCTTTAACCCATAATTCTCAATTTTTACTTAGCAGAATTTATATTGGCTTATTAGTTTGCATTCACGCATGGTAATGGTTGTTTTTAATGTTCTAGTAGATATCAATTAATTGAAATTGGATAGTAAAGTTAAAATACAGTTTTTAAAAATATATTTGAAGGGAGTGTTTAGAGAATTACAAAGGGGGTATAAGATAACCTTAGTTTAAATTGTGAATCAAATACAACTTCTATCTCATGAATCAAATATTTTATCTATGCTCAAAAGATCAAAAACTTAACAAAACTTAAATAGAGCCACCCTTTCTAAAAGAGCAATCACCTCCTTTCTTTTTTTAAAGGGAGTGACCGGCTATGTAAGGTATTCTGCAGTGTTGTGGAAAACTTCTTTTGGATTCTTTTGAGCCATATTAAACTTTTTAAAGATCTGTAAATCCTGAGTTTGAGTGCAAGTTCTACGTTCAAAACTTATACTTTGGGGGTGGATACGTTTTCAGAATTATTTTTTTAAATTATTAAATAACGACAACGAAAAATAAAGTAAAAATTATACAGTTAAGAACATATTTCTCAAAAGAAATTTGTCAATAAATCAATGCTAAATTCAATTATTTCGTTTTCATTATTATATTGAATTTCTTATTTTCTTTGAATTTATTCGCAGATTTTTTCAAATTCTTCAAATGTCTTCTTTTCAATAATAATTCTAGAAAATCTGCGAAAATCTTTGTGAATAATGAGAACCAGAATAATGAGAAAATAGAAACTAATAATTAAACAAGAGTACTTATTTTCGATGATAAGATTAATTTTTATTTTCTCTGTAGTTTATTGAAGAACTTTTTTTACATTTATATCGTCGTTATTTAATGATTAAAAAAAACTAATTCTGAAAACGTATCCACCCCAAAAGTAGGAGTTTTGAACGTCGAATTTGCGCTCAAACTAAGGATTTACAGATCATTTAAAAGTTTAATATGTCTAAAATGAATCCGAAAGAAGTTTTCCACAACACTGTATACTTAGTTCAACTACCTTACATTGCCGGTCACTCCCTTTAAAAACATCGTATAGAAGGGAACAGTATTGCTGATTATATTTCAATTCTAATTCATCTAATTCCAAACTTGAAATTGGGTAAAATACTAACGTTGGTATAGATCACCGGTAGCGCCAGTATTATAGAGACCAGCCATACTGCAAGCAGAGCTTTCCTAAATTTGAAATATGTATAAACTAGTTTTCCTAACTCAGACGTCTTATATAAAATAAGCTTTCTTAAATTAGGAATTTTAAAGAACGAGCTTTTCTTAAGCAGACCTCTTATAAAATACGTTTTCCTAAATCAGACGTCTTACATAAAATAAGCTTTCCTAAATTAGGAGTTTTTATAAACTAGTTTTCCTAAATCAGACGTCTCATAAAGTAAGCTTTCTTAAATTAGGAATTTTTAAGAACGAGCTTTTCCAAAGCAGACCTCTTATAAAATACGATTTCCTAAATCAGACGTCTCCCAAAATAAGTCTTCTTAAATTAGGAATTTTTAAGAACGAGCTTTTCTAAAGCAGACCTTTTATAAAATATGTTTTCCTAACTCAGACGTCTTATATAAAATAAGCTTTCTTAAATTAGGAATTTTTAAGAACGAGCTTTTCTAAAGCAGACCTCTTATAAAATACGTTTTCCTAAATCAGACGTCTTATATAAAATAAGCTTTCCTAAATTAGGAGTTTTTATAAACGAGTTTTCCTAAAACAGTCATCTCATAAAATAAGCTTTCCTAAATTAAGGAATATTTTCGTATTGAGCCCGAGTTTTTAAAATCTCGGGCTCAGGCCTACAAAGAACCATCACTATGTTTATAATTCCAAATTGGAGACTTTTTGATTCCTTTAAATTATATTTTCAAGGATCCCCAAAAACCGTGGGTAACCATTTGATATGTTTTCGTGAGGCTTCCAAAATCTTTTACAAAACATGATTATAATGTTGAAAATAATGGAGAAAACATTGGTGTACTTTTATGCAATTTTAGCTCAGGCATCTCAATTTAAACAAATTGAGTCTTTGTCACAAACTCAAATTTTCTATTCCCTAAATCTTTAAAACCTAATGGAGTAAACCTTTGATATTTCAAACTTAGATTCCAACAGAATTCATAGTTTGAAATATCTAAGGTCTACATTGGGTTTAAAAATTATAGGAATAAGAAAATCAAAGTTTGATACAAAGATTCAATTTCTTTACGGTAGATTTATAATTGAAATTAAATAAGATATAATACATTATACAATTCAAAAATCTTAAAAACAAGTTTTGAATATAATTTAAAAACAAATTTTAAATTTGATGGTTTTCTGAGTCATTTTAAAAATGATTTTTTAAAGATTGTGTTAATAAAGAATTGTTTACATTCATAAATTCCAACTATTCTTGCAAGAAGAGTAAGTTTGAGATTCCACATCATAAAAGAATAGAATATCATTTCTATTTGATGTAGAACAATGTTTTCAAATCATTAAATAGAACAATGACTCAACTTCAATCCAAAAATAAATTTTTGATTGTCATTTTTTTCTTCAGATTTTTAAATATCTTAGAAAATATAAATATTTCTACTCGATGGTTTCAGGGGTACCGTTGTAAATCAGAAATTGCTTATATTTGCATTAAGTGTTACTTGAATTAAGGCTTACAGCCTCTTTGAAGATCATTTCATGATTCCTATAAAGCCTCAATCTAATATCTATTTATGGGGAAGATTTAATTGGTGTACTGTGCTGTCTGGTTTTTATTTTTTTAATGCTGTATGTACATATTGCGCGATGTTATGTACTTTCCGTACTTTCCCAAATGCTTTTTCCCAAACGACAACTTTCCAAGAGTATTCTCCCAAGTTACAACTTCCCAAATGTACGATTTCCCAAGCGGAAACTTCTAATGTCTGTCCAACGTTAGATACGTAAACATATCGTGATGTACACAACCGACCTGTCTATTAATTAATTAATAGACAGGTCAGTTGTGTACATCTGAGCTAAGCTTCACCTTTTCGTTTTATTACTCTATGGTGGAATTTAAAAATGTTTTTTAAATTGGGGGCAAAAAATTTTTTTGGGATTGAGAAAATCAGCTATTTTGATAATTCTATGGACCCCTCTAAGTAAACCGAAGTTTTGAGTGTCCTGTAATAAAAAAACAAAAATCTTTTAATAACAAACCTTAGATTTCTCATTAAATGTTTCATCTCGAACAAAAAAACAGATCTACTTTTACAATTAGAGATAAGTTAGATCTTCCATTAAAATAATATGATAGATAAATCAGTTCTAGGGCCGGGTTACAGCTTCAAACAACATGGAAACACATAAACATAGAAACGAACAGAAGCTGATAAGCTCTTATAAAAAACGGCTGATTTTTTAAAGGAGAGCTTTTATTATTATTATGATTTATTTGTCGAACACATAAAATTGGTTCAGATATTAGATTATATATGAGCCAGTTCGTAGGAATGAACATCAAAATATACGTTTTAAGATATCTAATATGTATGTTAAAGTTTTAAAGAAAACAAATAAAACAAACATCGGTTTTTCTCTTAACAAGCAGATTTTATCTACAAAAATATAAAAATATATATTACCGATTTAAGGGAAAAAATGATAGAAATGAAAAATTCCAAACGACCCAGCTTTGCTATGACTCGTGTAAGAATAAAAAAAGTTTTTAACAATATTTAACAGAAGCAAACTATAGATTATTTGATAAAAGATGTCCATTAGATAGATATAATTATTAGAAAATTAAAGTTTGTGACATGTGCTCACTGTTTAGTTACTTTTCTTTTTCAGTCTCGACTTAACTGCAGTACTAATACTGTACAGTATATTTATTGTGCAGTACTGTATGGTATTGTACTGTACCTGCAGTTGGTGAGTGTACAGAGAGCTCTGGACCTCATCGGGTGTACAATAACTATGTACCTAAATCAAATATAGTATTAGGAAAGATAAATAATTTATTAAAGGGACTGTTATGGAAAAATGAATGGGGGTATAGGCTGATCCCGAAACACTTCAGGGGTTGATCGCGACCATGAGTTCTATCTGATGTCCCTGTCTCAAGAAATTGATATAAAACGTCAAAGTTATACCAAAACTTATATATATATATGAGATGTATCATGTGGTTTATAAATCAAAGTTTTAAGCAGGACAGTAGGGCAGTAGGACAGTATACAGTAGGAAAGTGGGACATTAGTACAGTAGGACTTTCAGTTCTGCACAGCTCAAGTTTTTTATGATGAAAGTTTCTATTTTTATTATAGACTAACTGAAGTAGTAAACTATTGTATGATTTGTATTATGGTATTTTCTTGTTTTACCATAGAGTAATAAATCCTCACTACTTCATCATTCATCTTCATTTAAACTTGCTTTTCATGCTTTTTGCACTTTTGCAGAATCATATGTGTCCTATTTGGTGTTTTGCCAAGGTAGAATAGTTTTAAAGCCTGTCTACTTTAATCCAATTTGAAAATTTAATATAAAACATTTCTCTTAAAAAACTACTAATTATAAAATTAAAATGAAAAAGGTTGGTTTGAAATATT